AAGCGAAATTTGAATATCAGACACTTAGGTGCAAGATTATGCCAAAATTACATGTTTCCGCTCATTTGTACATCATTCTAGAGAGAAATAAATTGCTTTTTTAGAAAGTGAACCGTGGATGGGGAAATGTTGGCAGTTTTCTCAAAAAATCCTTGAATTCAAGAAGTTTTAGATTTGCGTGGTTTTCTTTTGAGTTGCAAAATCCACTTGAACATGATGCTGCTTTTTTCGAAGTTTCTCAAGAATTATTCAAGCCAAAGAATTCGTTTTGGCATCGTTGGATAGATAATTGAATGTGGGGGGAGGGTCATGATCTCCATGACCGCCCCCCTGGATCCGCCCTTGTGTCACATAAGGGGCTGCAGGTATCAAAAGTGGCAAGTTTCCGAAAACCATCTAAGAAGTGTCAGCGTAAATACGTATGTAAAGGAAAGTAGACTGGACTAAACTTACCATAGTAATCAGGTTTAGGACACACATTAGGACAGAATTCGGACTAAAATGTTTCACTGAGTTTCAACTGGACACAATTTGATTGGCGAATCAGAGACAAGTCAATCATCAAGACTTGTCTCTGTGGCGAATGAYAATGTTGGAAGCTTTCAAGCGTCTCTGTTAGATGGCAGCTTTACCCCGACTTTAGCCAAGGTGARTGCGCTCCTACCTTCAGCCTTCAGCCACAGAACATACCCCCTACCATACAAGGGGGGATATTTTGTGGCCTTCAGCAGTCAATTTGAGGTTTTATAGGTTGGGATTGCCTTATTTTCATTTAAATAATTGCTTCCAATAAACGGGGCTGTTGTAAAACKTTGTAGACGCAATTTTCGGGACAACTGTAATGGCTCTTATTACCAGGCAAATTCCCCGGATTTTTATTCAGGTGATTCACTGATTTAGAGTTTTAGGTTAGGATTATTGATGATATAACTCTGGATTAGCAGGAAATTTTTAATTAAAATTGCCATATTTTGGGAATTATCATTGATTCGGTCATGTAATGTGTTACTTTATTGGGTCTTGGGAAATTCACATTGGAATCACAATTGTATTTTTTAAATTTAATAAATTGTTTAGGGTGCATAGCGAACTAGTAGGTTTAGTTCTAGCTGACTTATACCGAGTTAAAAAACTATTTTTTCTTTTTAGGCTACTCAAGGTGCGGCAGTTAGAAGCATCCACAATTCCACAATTAGCAACTCCCCCGTAAGTGACTAAAATACATTGGAAAAGCACGTGATATCGGCCAATTTTAAGATCTTAATTTCCTGGACATTTGCTTACTTTTGCCTTGATCCAGTTGATTAGAACATTTGGTAAAAATCAAGCATTTTATGCTCTGTTTCTACTTGATGTGTTTGATCACACCGTGTAAGTCTTCTCTAAAACTCCACTCTTTTAACTAAGATCGTTTTTTTTCTTCACGCTCATGAAGAAATGTCTTCTAACGCTTAAAGTGAAGCTTAAAGTAGTAGCAAAATGTGGTAAAAGTTCTGGATAACAGAGGGAAAACTCGTCAAAGGCGGAATAATAGGTTTTAGCTCAACGTCCAGATACCCGCGTCACAGCCACTCTTATTCCTGGAGATGGAGTGGGCCCGGATCTGGTTTATTCTGTCCAGGAAGTCTTCAAAGCCGCCGGAGTGCCCGTGGATTGGGAATCGTACTTTTTTTCCGAAGTCAACCCCACTTTGAGTGCGCCACTTGAAGATGTAACTATTTGCTCAAACTTTCACAACCAATTGTATGCATGCGGGTTTTTTAGGTCGCCAAATCAATCAGCAAAAATCGAGTGGCTCTTAAAGGAATCCTGGCTACTCCCGACTATTCCCACACAGGTTTGGGCGGAAAATATCCGGAAAACCTCTCCTAAATCCGAGTTTTCAGGAGAACTTCAAACACTGAACATGAAGCTTCGCAACGAGCTGGACTTGTACGCTAACGTGGTTCATGTGAAGTCTTTGCCGGGAGTCAAGTGCAGACACAGCAACATTGACTGTGTGATCATCAGAGAGCAGACGGAAGGAGAGTACTCGGCTTTAGAGCATGAGAGCGTCCCAGGGGTAGTGGAATGCTTGAAGATCGTAACAGCGAAAAAATCGCAGCGAATTGCAAAGTTTGCCTTTGACTATGCTGTGAAGAACAACCGCAAGAAGGTCACAGCTGTTCACAAGGCGAACATCATGAAACTGGGCGATGGGCTGTTTTTACGAAGCTGCGAAGAGGTTGGCCTGGTTAATGCTCCATCTTGTTCCAGCCCGCTAATATTTTGCTTTGTTGCAGATGGCCAAACTCTATCCAAAGATCGAGTTCGAGAAAATGATTGTGGACAACTGCACCATGCAAATGGTCTCCAAACCCCAACAGTTCGACGTTATGGTGACTCCGAACTTGTATGGAAACATCGTGGATAATTTAGCGTCGGGATTAGTGGGCGGAGCCGGCGTTGTCTCAGGGTCCAGTTACTCAGCAGATTGCGTTGTGTTTGAACCAGTATGTATTTAGAACCAATGTATTTAGAAGATGGTGGTGGACAAACGGCTAATGTTTCTCTGTTTAGGGCGCGAGGCATACGTTTTCAGAAGCTGTTGGTAAAAACGTAGCCAATCCAACCGCGATGTTACTTTGCGCTTCCAAACTGCTGAGGCACGTTAATCTGACGGTTTACAGCGACATGGTGAGGAACGCCGTCGAGAAAGTTCTTCAGGATGGCAAAGTGCGCACCAAAGACATTGGTGGCCAAAACAGTACTCAGGAATTCACCTATGCAGTTATATCGAACCTGGAATTGCCAAAGGCTTGATTTTAATTTAATTGTACAAATATTGCTAATTTATTTTTTAATTTAGTACTCAATCTTCGGAAGCTCAAGTTTATTCCAGAATCAGCCATAATAGTTTTTTCGTCCCGAATCCTTTAAAAATGTATTTTTTATGAAGTGATTAATGTGTGCGCAATTTATATCTATAGGAAATAGAGTGACGTCGTTACAGCTTTGTTATTAGGCCAAAAAGTATTCTGGGAATTCGCTAGTACAATTAGGATGGACTATCTGTTGAATAA